TGCCTTCCCTTGCCTTCCCTTACCTTCCTTTGCCTTCCCTTGCCTTCCCTTGCCTTCCCTTACCTTCCCTTGCCTTCCCTTGCCTTCCCTTGCCTTCCCTTGCCTTCCCTTCCCTTCCCTTCCCTCCCCTTCCCTTCCCTTCCCTTTTTCCTTCATTATCTGTCATATGAGGACATCTAAGGACATTTAGACAGCCTAAGGAGAGATCTTCAAGACAGGAGTGGAGGTCTCCTGTCAACAACCACTCAAGTGACCTTGGAAGTGGATTCTGTAGCTTCAGATAAAGGTTGAAGTGACTGCAGTTGCTCTCTGCAGCTTGCCTGCAGCTCTAGTGAGAGACCTGAGCCAGAGGCACTTGACTAAGCCTTACCCAGATTCCTAACTCACACAATCAGGGAGACAATAAGGACTCGGGTGTTTGGCAGTGATTTGTTATTCAGCATAGCTAGCTAATGTAAAAGGTTTCATGATTGTATAGCTAAGGTAAATTTAGAAGCTAAAATTTGGACTCGTTTGTTTTCTGCTGAAAAAGTTGTAGAAAAGCATAGGACTGAAAGTCTCTCTCTCTCTCTCTCTCTCTCTCTCTCTCTCTCTCTCTCCCTCCCTCCCTCTGTCCCCCCCCCAAAATAAACAACTATAATTATAATTTAAACAGAACATTGTAGAGATCTGTTGTAGGGATTAACACTAATTAGAACAGGCATTGTGAAATTTAGTCTTCTCACAATACACTTTATCCCTTGATAAAGTGTGTGTGTGTGTGGGGGGGTGAACACTTTAATGTTTGACCAGATTTTCATTTCTGGTAGAAGGGGAGAGGAAGAGGAACATTTATATATACCTCAAAAATGGGTTATATGGCCAGTGAGATGGCTCAGAGGGTAAAGACCCTTGCTGTCAAGCCTGATGACCTGAGTTCCAACCCTGGAACCCACATGATAGGAGAGAACTGACTTGGCAAAAGCTGTCCTCTGACCTCCACACATGTGCTATGGCATGCATATGTGCATACACACATAATAAATAAAATGTGATAATTTTAAAAAATGGGTTATCATTTTTAAATTAAGGATGTCTGTCCTTAACAGTCACATATACTTTGCACAATTAAAATATGGTTTGGCCAAAGAATAAGTAAATAAATAATATTTTTAAAATAGGATTTGGCCCAGTGTGGTGGCACATACCTTTAATCCCAGGAGGCAGAGGCAGGTGGATCTCTGTGAGATGAAGTCTAGCCTGGTCTATATAGTGAGCTCCAGGCCAGCTCGGGCTACATAGTGAGACCTTCTCTCAAGAAAAAAAACAGGGTTCACTGTTTTTAGACTCCAACAGTTTTTTTGTATGGAGACTGGACCCAGGGCCTCACACATGCTAGGCACACACTGGACTAGTGAGCTGCATCCTCATTCTAACAACAAAAATTTAACATCACACTATGTCTCCTTTTATGGGTGAAACTTCTCATTGCAGCTCTAATTTTTAAATATTTGACAAGCAATTATCCTAACAAATGGTTTCAGATCTTTTTGGGGTCTCTAAATCCTGAAAGGTGAGCATACTCATCCCTTTCTGTGGCGCATGCACACACACACACACACACACACACACACACACACACGTTTTAAATGCAATTTTGTTTCGATGTTTTGATTTTCCTATTTTCAGAATGGTTCCTTTATTAGACCCTTCCTTAGTACCAGTCAGTCAACCGGACTGAGCACCTACTGAATACTTTCACCAAACAAACAGAAGACAGACTTCATTAGGTCACAAGAGCACACAATTGAGCAGAGAAGATCAGATACATAACTAAAAGAATCGAAGTACACCTTTAGTGAGTAAAGATAAGCCCAGAAGTGCAGATTACTATTGAATTTTATTTCGTTTTTGGAGACAGGGTCTCATCTATTGGAGTTTGGCCTTAAACTCCCTGTGCAGCTCAGGATGACCTTGAACTTCTGATCCTCCTGCCTCTACCTCTTGAGTGTTGGGGTTAGAAGCATATGGTGATACTCTGGGTTTATGTGGTGCTAGGAAATGAACCCAGGGCTTTGTGTATGCTAGGCAAGAATTCTACCAACTGAGCTACACAGCCTCCACTATTGAATTTTTAAAATATTGATAATTATACTGGGATGACAATTTGTGAAATTTTGATTACTGATTGATCAATGTTTCTTTGCATGTTTACTTTATTCTTTGGTTGGACATTTGAGACTCTCATACATGTATACAATTTGTTTTGATCAAATCTACCCCTCCTGCCTCCCTCCAACTTCTCTTATACCCCCACCACTTTTCACTCCCAACTTAATGTCTTTTTTTCAAACCCATTGAGTCCATTTAGTGTTGTAGTATGTGAATGAGGGTAGGGTCATCTACTGGAGCATGGGTGTTTTTTGGAAACGACAGGACCATTGCATATAGTATCCACGGTGGTTGAGACTGCATGCAGAAGACCTGTACAAGAGCAAGTCGGCCAAAATTCCAGCATGAACGGGGGAGGGGCCCACCATGTCCCACACCTTCTTGAGGCACTATTGGCAGTTGATGGCTGCTGGGGAAAGGAGAGTCAGTTTTCCTTGCCTGTTTCTTTTGGCCATTCTCTTTGCCTTGAATGCCCTTCTCCTCCAACTTCACTCACTGAAATTCTAACTTTGATATAAGATCTTCCTCAGTCACTTCCAATTCCATGCATCCTAGGTTTACTCCATCTTGATTTATCATTGCCCTGCTGACTAGAGTTCACCCTGCTCTTCTCCCAATCATTTCACGAGTCATTATTTCACTGTCCATCTCTGATCACTTCAGTTGTCTTTGGTGCCCGTCCTACTCTTTTCACTGCTTACCACTATCATCTGTCCCTTCTGTCTCCATTGTATTGTACTAGCACTCTGTCCAGCAACCTCAGCCCTGGTCCTCGTGTCTTTGCACAGGCCCATTCTCCAGGCTGGACTACCCTCTACAGCCTCTAACTCTGTAGGCATCTTTACTTGGTTCCTCCACATTATACTGCCACTGAACCCCCAACATCTAATGTAGTGATTGACACAGATAACTGTAATAGACATTTGTTGCATGGATACCCTGCCTCCAGGGATTATTACCTGACTTTTCTCAAGAAGGGGAAAGAAATATTGAAATGAATCACTGTGTTTCTTTAGCTATCATAATTGAATTTTTCTTGATGATTACATTTCTAATATCTGCTTACCTATTGAAACCCTTTATCTATATTAATATACATTTTGTTAAAACATCGTTTCTTGAAAAATCAATTTAGACAGGCATGATAGCACATGGCTTTAATGCCAGCATTTGGAAGGCAGAGTCAAGTGGGTCTCTGTGAATGTGAAACCAGCCTGGTGTACAAAGAGAGCTCCAGGACAAACAGGGTTACATAGTGAGAGCGTGTGTCGATTTGTTTTTTTTTTTTAACTGGAAAATAAGAATTGTGTGTAGTGGCTGGAGAGATGGCTTAGCATTTTTTTTATTTTTTGTTTTCTTGATACAGGGTCTCCATGTTGCCCCAACTGGCCTGGAACTCGCTATGTAGACTAGGCTAGGCTTGATCTCAGAGGGATCTGTTTGCCTCTGCATCCTGAATGCTGGGATTAAAAGTATATGCTACCATGCCTGGCAATTTTTAAAAATTGATTGGCTCAGTATTTAAGAACACATATTGTTCTTCCACAGACCTGAGTTTGGTTCCCAGCACACACATCGGGCAGCTCACAATTGCCTGTAACTCCAGTTCCAAGGGATCCAACAACCCTCTTTTGGCTTCTGTGGGCAACTGTACTCACATGTAGATACTCCCACACAGACACACACACATAATTTAAAACATAATAAGTTCTAAAAAAGAATTTTATGCTTTTGATGTATACCATAATGTTTTGAAACAGTCTGCTTCTTAGTTAGGTATGTGGCCTTGGACTACTTTATTAATCATTCCATTCCTCAAATTCCTTTTTTTCTTGCGTTTTTTTTTTTTGAGACAGAGTCTATGTAGATAAGATTAGTCCAAATTTACAGGAATCCTCCTGTCTCTGCCTTCCAAATATAATTTCCTTATTTATAAAATGGATGCAATAAGACTACTTCTCTCTTAAGGTTATAGTGAGGATTAGATGAGATGCTTTTACTATCTGGAATGTTTTCTGCCCAGATCATCCAAGGACAGGATCCTTCTTCACATTCAAGGCACAGTTCAATTGGCAAGACTTCAGAGCCGTCCTTGACAACTCTGGTCCTGCCCCACTTTCCCTTATGTCATCTTGTTTGAAGTTCTTCATAGCGCTTGTCACTATCTGAATTTATCTTTATTTACTTATTTGTTTACTAGCTATATGACCTCAATTTCTCTGAGTCCCTTTCTGTTCACTGTCATTTCCTCAGTCAGTGTCTAGAGCCAGATCTGCATTGTAATATTGAATAATCAATATTTGTTTAATTATTATTCACTTACTCTTATTACTCCAAGTCTTTGAGAAAGCTAATGGACAGCCACACTGATCAAGTACAAATGTTGAGGTGGGAGGACTTCTTTCAAAGTGCCACAAGATCCAGCTCAGGCTTGGGAAGTCACATCTAGCTTTAAGAATTTGACTCATTTGGTCCTTAGAATCACTGGAGATTTAAAGATCACTAGCATGGCTTATGCTTTCCATGCATGAAAAGTGACACAGCTGTAGATCAAAGGAGGAAGACTCATAGCTAAGTCCTAAACCAGTGGTGCACAGAGTAAGGGAAGTGGGGATTTGGAGGATGAGATTCTGCTGGGAAAGGCATTCTAGAGGAAACTAAAAGGGAAAGAAGTCATCTTAGAGAAAAGAACCCAGCCATCAATGTTGGCAAACCACTTAGAATAATGCCTGGTCAATAGAAAAAGTGAGATGTGTTTATGAATCCAAAAATATCCAAGTGATATTTTAATGCCATCAGAATTTTATTATTCAAAAAGATACAAAAATAGTAAAAAAGCTATATTCAGCTAAATATGAATTGATCTTTCACAAAAGTGCTCTTAAGAGAGCCATAATAACACTTATTTGACTGATGGCAGAAAATGCTACATACTAATTTTAGAAAGGGAATTTTCAGAAGCCCCCAAATCTGAACATTACATGGGTTTCTTCAGGCCATCTGAGTGAACACACCAGTTCTCATAAAAATCAGTGAAGCAAGGTGGGTATTCAAAATGGGCCTCCCAAGACTCTGCCTTGTGGTATGGGGTCTAGATGCGTTCTTGCTTGAAGACACAAGGTGGACAGCTGCAGTTCGATCTTTGGTTGGACTGTGGCAAGCTGAATACCTGGTAGCACGACTCATCTTTCTGGGTCACGGCCATGTTATTGTTAGCTGCTCTCACAGAATAGGGCTTAGTGAGCCAGGGGGAGCGTTGATGGGCAGCGCATGACACGGGGATCACATATCTAGATGATGAACCCTTGGAAGCATAGTGGATCTCAGAGCTGTAGATAACTATGTCTTGAGAGATGGCCTTGGCTCTGATGCCACATTCTGTAACACGGTAGGTAAACTGGTAGAAGTGTGGATGAATGTGGTTGGCGGGACAACCCAGGCCCAAGTGCACCTCGTAAAAGTGTACGTAGACATCATTATTCAGCAAGAAGGGGTGGACGGTGACCATGAACCAATCAGTGGAGCATAGCACAGACACTTGATTCTGTCCAGGGTAGACAGAAAACATACAGGTGAGGAACAGCAACCCTCCTAGCAACTTGAACATTTTCATCCTTGTAGCCGGTCGGGTAACAACTCAAAGAAATAGGAAGGCGTCTAGTGAAGATTTCTAGAACACACAAAAATACAAGAGACAAATTAGCTTATGTCTTTTGTAAAGTTAAAATGTGAGATTTTGAAGCAAAAGACTGTCATAAAGCACTGTGAAGAGGAAAACTGCCATGTGAGGCAGAACTAAAATTTAATTTCATTGTTTGAGCTCACCTGTTTACAGATGACTATCATGGCTTCTTATGCATTTTTGGAGATGGAGCTTGGGATAAAACCCAGGTCTTCACATACGCTAGGCAAGTGCTCTATCTGTGAGCTACACAAGCCTGGCATGGTGGCACATGGCCTCTTTAAGTAACTTTTTCATGTTGTTTTGGTATAAAATGCATACCCCTCCTTCATATGTAGAATAGACTCTGCACTGATTAGGATTGGTACCCTATTATGTATAAGCCCAACAGGAAACCAAAACAAAACAGTTTTCACAATAAACGTTAAATCAAGACATAGGAAACAGTTTAATTCAAGCTAGCAATTTATTATGCCTCAAGGATTGTGATGTCCTCACATACATTATCCTATTGAACCCTTCCTTATGACATTTTTTTCTTAGCAAACAAATGTAATTTTGAAAACCTAAGAAAATGGCTGGAGAGATGGCTCATCAGGTAAAGATACTTTACTTGCAAGTCTGACGACCTGAGTTTCATTGCCAGAACCCACACTCATGGTATATAAGGAGAAAACTGACTCCCACAAGTTGTCCCTTACCCTCTACACAAACACCATGGCAAGTGTCCCCACTCACTAAATATAATAATATATAAACAAAAATAAATAAAATATAAGCAAGAAAACTCAGGAGAAATTGTAGTTTATTCCTGACAACCATATATTAAAATTTGACTGAGTGGGTCACTTAAATGTGATCAAATGAATGTTTCTCAAACTCTATCAGTAGTATCCAAGGTCATTATGAACAAAAGATTACCTAATACATTGGGATACTCTGTAAAACGGAGAAATTGCAGGAAAAAGCATTCTGATCTCTGTGAGTTTGAGCCCAGCTTCATGTACGCAGCAAATTCAAGGCCAGCCTGGGCTACAGAATGGGACTCTGTCTCAAAAACCAATCAACCAACCAAACAAATCATGCTCATTTTAATTTGATGTTTTCAATGCTTATTACATATAAAAACTACTTTTAAAAGTCCTATATTTAAAAAGGAAATGTTTGCTTTATGCTTTGCATAGACTGACCAACTATCTTTTAAAAATCTTTACTTCAGAGCCTTTTATGTTCACTAGCTTTTTGTTTCTTTTTGCCCCCCACCCTTGAAAGAATAGCAGACAAAGTGGCAGGGAGAAAAAAAAAGAGCAAAGCTAAGAGTAAGTGTCTAAAACATGATATCAGAAGGCGACACTCAGGGAAGCAGGAAGGACATCATCAAATATTGTCTAATTCGGCTTTCGCTTTACAAGTGGAAAACCACATAAATCAAATGAGAAAAGTGCCTAAAATTTGGAAGGAAATATATGTGCATAAGTGTAGGGATTAACTTTTGTTCCCTGCTAAGTATTCCCTAAATAGATGATTTCATTCTTTGGCTAATATTTATTGAGTGTCTACTATGTTCGTTTCATCGGGCTAAAAAGCATCCCAGGATTTCCCCCTTTCCTGGTTGCAAACACGCAGCTCTTTCTCTGCCTTTGCTCTTGATAAATTTGCTGTATTCTTGAGTGGAATCCATGGCATGGGGGCCCGCTAGAAAAGTGCACTGGCCTGGATGAAATGCGGTTTCTGATCGCTATGTCTTGCTCTTATTATCTCTCCCTCTCTTATTAATGAATGCTCATTCTCTTCATAGTGTTGGGGTGTAAAAAGAAGCTGAGAGGTCTGAGAGACTCTTTTCTTTACTTTTTATTTATTCTGAAATGTCACTCCTGGGGCTGGTTCTTTTCCCACAAAGCAAAAATAGAAACAGCAGACCCCCTCCCACACACACACAGTATCTCCTTACATCCTCTACCCCCAAAGCATGAGCTGGGCCTAGTTGACAGTGACACAAACAAGCCACTTGCTCCAGAATGATGCATGGTTTATGCTGAGACCCTTTGGGAAACCGAAAATCACCTCATCATTGCCACATTACTGCCTGCATCTAAAGAAAACAAATTAGGGGACTGGAGAGATGGCTCAGTGATTAAGAGCACTGGCTGCTCTTGCAGACGACTCAGGTTTGAGTCCCAGCACCCACATTGCATCTAACCACTGTCTATAACTCTAGTTCCAGTGGAATCAACACCTTCTTCTGACATCCAGAGGCATTGTACATCATGGGTGTACTTACATACATGCAGGCAATACAATCACACACATAAAAATAATAAAAAAAAGAAAGCAACTTGTCCTGAATTAGGAATGGCTTTATCTCCCTCATTCATCCCTTTCCTTTCCCTTTTCTCTCTCTTCTTCCTTTTCCTTTCCTTAACATGATCTCACAGCTTGGGCCTACCTTTCCTGAACCTTATTATTACAAAGTTTGTGGCATAGGTTGAGGAAGTAATTGTTTCATTCCATTTTGGTTCTCAACCTCCCAAACTAAGACAAATTTAAAACTGTTCTGGTCCAGGATTTATGTCATCTATTTCCCTCTCTCAAGCAACCTTCCTGTAGTCTTCCCTCTCCTCTTCTCCCTCATGAATAATCCAAATAAAGTTATCAAATACCTAGATTCTCCAAATAAGACACCTGTTCCCTGTGCAATCATTTCAGACTACCTTCTTTGTGCCCCCCCGACCCCCATACTTTTGAAATCTCACTGCCCTGATTCTGTCTGAAAGAGGTAGTTCAGTGACATCAAAGTTTGGGGGATCACGTAGCACAACTCTCCAAACTTGTGTAAGATAGAATCTGTTGCCTCTGGTTTCCCTAGAGTCAGCAACAGATTGCCACATAATAGAGGTGATAAATGAAGATGCCTATGTGTGTGACAACATACCTCTGGGCTCATGAAAGTTAGCACAATCCATGCTTGTGGCCCTGTGATTCTGAGGGAGAAGAGCCTGGAGATTAGGAGAGCACAATGTACTTCCTAAGGAGCTTTCTAAATCTGAGCCTAATACTTCAAGGCCATACTTTGGGATTGGCTCCTTTTTGCTGAATACACATCACCAAAAATGCAGCAGCCTCCTTTACCCTGTGGTCTGTAAAGATCTCTCTCTCTCTCTCTCTCTCTCTCTCTCTCT